GGTCCCCAAAGATGCCCACACCTAAGCTCTGGAACATGTGAGTGTTGTGTGGCAAAAGGAACTTTGTAAACAAATTGTCTTTTTTAAAATGGGGAGGTTATCCTGGATTATCTGGGTAGGTCCATGTAATCACAATGGCATAAGTGTGAAAAAGATAGGCAGGCAGAAAGATGGGAAAAATTCAGAACTCAAAAGGGACTTGGCTTGCTGTTGCTGGCTGAGGATGAGTTGGGGGAGCAGGGGTGCATGGGCATGAGTCAAGGAATAAGTGTGGCCTTCACAATCTGGGAAAGGTCCTCACATCTGAGGTAACTCCTAAAATTCCAAGAAATAATTCTGCCAGTGACTCCCAGGTTAAGAAACTGTATTCTCCCCTAGAGCCTCCATAAAGGAATGAAGTTCTGCTAACACCATATGAGCCGCAGAAGACCAGTGCTGGACTGAGGTTTTGTTTTTTGGTTTTTTTTTTTTTTGGTGATACTGTGGATTTAACCCATGGGTACGCTACCACTGAACTACACTCCCAGCCCTTTTAAATTCTGAAGCAGAGTCCTACTCAATTGCTAAGGCTGGCCTTGAACTTGAAATCCTGCTGCCTCAGCCTCCTGAGTAGCTGGGATTATAGGTGAATACCTGGTTATCAAAACAAACATCAACAATGGGCATCTTGAAAAAGTATGTGCTAGCCCAGAGGTGTCACTACTGTGACACTCCTGCCAAAGATACTTTGAATCCATTCAGGAGGATATACCTAGACCTACAAATTTAACAGTCTACAAATTCTGGACACTTCAAGTGTCCAAATTACAAAAAAAAAAAAAAAAAAAAAAAACAAGTTAAAGCTTCTAGACCAAATGAACCAAAGAGATATACATGATAACCAAGTGTATAGGATCCTCTTCCTACAGAAGACATTGGGACAATCCTTGAGGCCTAACTTTGACCTTAAGATCTTACAGGGAACTATATTCATGCCGATTTCCTATTTGATACTTGCATGGTAATGTGCAGAAAACTATCGCAACTTACCCTCAAGTGGGTCAGGATAAAAAAGTTCCGTGTACAGTCCGCCCTCCACATCCAAGGGTTCCACATCCATGGAGTCAATCCCGGATCAAAAATATTCAGGAAAAATTGTGTACTGAACCTGTACAGACCTTTTTCTAGTCATTACTCCCAAACAATACAGTAAAACAACTGTGTACGTAACATTTGAATTACATTAGGTGTTACAAGTCGTTTAGAGGTGATTTAAAGTATATGGGAAGATATGCACAGGTCATATGCAAAGTTATACCTTTCTACCTAAAGGATTGAAGTACGTTCTGGATTTCAGAATCCTCAGGGGGTCCTGGAGCCAATCCTCCATGGATACTAAGGAATGACTACACTCACTCCTCTGTAAAATATTTTTTAAGTTTCAGACTTTAAAAGAATAAAACACATGCACATCAGTATTTCCTTCTCCTCCTCTATCCATAGAGACGTCTCCCTTCTCTCAAAGAAAAGTAGCCAAAGCAAATGCCAGTGCCTACAGTGTCTGAGTAGAGGGAGCTGAGGTACAGTGCGGTCACAGCCTGAACTGTACCCCACCTCCACCCCAATCCAGCTGCCTCTCCACTTAGTTTGCTGACCAAACCAATGCTAAAATTACCATTTCCACTGATGGTCCACAGTGCAAGCCACAGGAACGAAGTGACTAATAATTTCTTCAGATGAGTTTCTTCTCTGGTTTCTCACCTGGTGAACAGGGCAGTCAGCTCTGCTGCCTGTGGAAGTCACTAGTCCCTTAAAGCCCTTCCTCAGAAGAAGTATTTTAGGGTGAACTCTCCGATCACTCCCTTATAGCAAGCAGAGGAACTACCCTGTCTTCACTTTTTAAATGCAAAATAACGAAGGAATATGTGTGTATTATGAGCAGCAGCTAACAGAAAGGCTTCTCTTAACTGGACATAGCACAGAGGGCACCTCCTGGCTCTCCCTGATCCCTGCAAGTCCAGCAAACAACAAGCCAGAAGTATGGGCACTGCTCCGCTCCAGTGTCATCCTAGACCCAAGACAGGGCTGAGCCCTAGGGTCTGAAGTGATAAGAACTCCTTGAGGAATTAATTAGCACTCCTGATAAATATAAGAGCAACTGCCTGACAGACTTGGAGAAATTCAAACCCCTTCTTTTCCCATCAGTTTGTTAGTTTTGGGAACAACCTAATCATCTTTCATGCTTTTATATTGAGCAATCTCAAAAAAAGTCTCCAAAAAAATCACAATTATTTCACTATCCATTTTTCTATAAAACATCCACCCACAGCCAGCCAGGCATGGTTGTGTATACCTGTGATCCCAATGAGGCTGAGGCAGGAGGACTGCAAGTCTGAAGTCAGCCTCAGCTACTCAGTGAGACCTGTCTCAAAAAATAAAAGGGGCTGGGTACGGTGGTGCACACCTGAAATCCCAGCAGTTAGGGAGGCTGAGGCAGGAGGATCATGAGTTCAAAGGCAAGCTCACCAATTTAGCAAGGCCGTAAGTGAGATACTCTCTACTAAATTATTTTTTTTTTTAAAAGGGCTGTGGATGTGGTTCAGTGCCCCTGGGTTCAATCCTCAGTACCAAAAACTTCAATAAAGGGGCTGGAGGTGTAGCTCAGTGATAAAGTACCCATTTTGTCTCAAGTACAAAAAACTTTAAAAAACACTGCTACCCACAGTGAGTGTGTGTGCGTGTGTGTTAAAGCATCTTCTCATGCAGAGGGTAATGTGCCAAAACTCAATGCGAGAAGCTCCTTTATCACATTTCAGGGATTCACTGCCCATCTGCACAATTCATTCCAGGCTCCCAAGGTACAAGGATCCCACTAGGGTATGAGGGGACCAGTTACCCACAGGCCAGTTTCTAAAGTTCTAATCAAATGAGAACAGGTGCAGGAATCAGATAGGATCAAAACATGAGTCACTGTTGAGGGGGATGTGGCTTGGTCCTGGGCTTCAACTGGATGCCCCCAATAGGGTGTGCAAGTTACCCACCCGACAAGAAGGTGAGGGTGTCAAAGACTTTCCTTCGTAAGCTGCCAAGAACTGGGAGCGGGAGGCTCCTCATTTCAGCCCTGCGCTCTAGTGGCTCTCAGCGGGTCCAGTTCAGGGCTGAGCTCCCAACTCCCTAAGCTCTGCCTGTTTCTGTGAAAAGACACCAGAGGGAGCACCATTAGGTGCCTCTTTGCTGAAGAAACGCACGCAGGGAGGGGCAGGAGGCGGTAGTGACTGGGTATCCTGAGACACTGCCCTTGGAAAGCACGCTAGCACACTGACTCCCTTCTATTTCCCAACCTGTCCATCAGCTTTGGGCCAAATTTACATCCCACAACACAGGCGTTTCTGTATGGGGGGGCCAAAGAAATGCAAAATCTTCAGCAATTATACAGATGAGGATTAAAAAAAAGAGAGTCCAGAAAGGAGCGATCTGCTTTGCAGCAGGTCTGTGGGCAAGACAGACGAGACATCCCTCCCGCCACATTTTTATGGTGAAAAGGACTGCGCTGCCAATCTCTTCAGAGCAGAAAGAAGCCCGAATGTGGATATTTCTCTCTCATTCTATTCACAGCCCTCAGCAATCAAAAACAGGGCCAGCTGCCACACGGAGGCCAAGCGGACCTCAGTGCTCCCTGCAGAGTCAGGCTGGGTGGGGAAGGTGCTGGCTGCAGTCTGCCCTCTCTGGGATGGTGTCATCAGCAGGCTTTCTGGAGGGCTGGCAGGGCTTTCACTCGTCACTGGTGGAGGGCAGACTCTGACTCACAGGGCTGGGGCGGGCCTGGGAATCTGCACTGCTCCCAAGATCCCAGGGGATGCTGCTGTGCAGAGGCAGGGGCCACCCGGTGGGGCTCAGGAAATAAGCAGACACCTGCCCCACACCTGACCCAGGAAGGAACACCAAGGGTTAAACGACCCTCCACTGTGCTGGGCTGAGGATAAGGACAAAATCTGCCCTCCTGCCACCCCGCTTCAGAAAGACGTCCTAATGTTAAGGGGCCAGACTTTAAAGTCCCAACACAGAGGGATCTGGAAGGACCCTCAATGATGCCACCAGGGGCTGTGTGTACCAGGGTGGGGCCAGTGCTGGCTGGGCAGAGCAAGAGCAGAAGGAACAGGAGTCCACACGCAGCTCAACACACGTTTCGTCATCACTGGTGATTTTTCGCCTCTGTACACAGGTGCACACGTTCACATATATAATATGTAAAGCAACGGCTCTGTGTCGTTCACACATCCAAAACCTTTGTAAGATGGGAAAGCCTGACAACCCCGACACAAAGGACCAAGAAGAGCACTTCCAAAACAGAGGCTCCTCGCATGTGCTCCCCAGCTCCCCTGCCTGCACCCTAGTCCTCCAGCAGGAGCTCCAGCTCCTCCAGGGGCAGCCGCACGCGCAGCTCCTTCTCAGTCATCAGATCCAGGACCTCCTGCAGCTCGTCAGGGAAGTACTCCACGGCGTCCATGTACAACACCTAGTGCCAGGGAAAGACCTCTGTGAGAGTGGAGGGGTTCCAGCCAGCGTGCCCCCCACCCTGGCCCTCCACAGTCCACCTTCCCTTTCTCTTGGGCTTTCTTAGCTCAGGCAGCACTGGTCAGGAAGGACAGGGGACTCGACAGCAGTGAAAGCCAGTGAACACCAAGTGAGGCCCCGCTTACAGTGGGGCCAGAGGTGCTGGAGACCTGAGTCACTGTCTACTGACTCCGAATGTCTCCTGGCCTGGATGGGACATGGATCCCAACACTTTTGGCATCTAGGCTGAATTCTGGGCAGGTGTTAAGAGCCACATTTCAATGCAGGGCAAGGAAACGGACCACTGGGCTCTGACTCCACAGGGAACAGATCACTAGGATACGCCCTACATGTTCCCCAGGAAGGGGTACTGACAGCCCTGATGTCCAGACGATACTGGCTGGGCAGAGGCCTAGGAGAAAGGTCCTGAGGAATCTTAAGATACCATGGTGTGTAAAACCTACCTTTGCCCAGGGACAATTCTGAAGTGCTTTGTAGAACACACCTTTGCTTCTGTCTTTGTTTCCTAAGGAAGCCTGAGGGGAGGGCGAAAATACAAAAAAGATCAACTGAAGCAGAGCTCAGGCTTTAATAAAAAAGAAATTTAAAAAACAACAACAACAAAAAAAAAACAGCCCTCACATGGCATACAGCCCCAGCTGCGTAGGCAGGCTCTGTGGATGGCCCGGTACCATCACGGTGGCTGAACGGAATGCGCCCAGATACCAGAAGATGCTCTCTAGGCCCCTGCTATGTGGTAGACATTTCCCTCTTCAAATGGCCCCATGTTGATGCTGAGCACTTTTATTAGCAATCCTGTTCCCCCTCCTGTACTGGGAACCACCTGCCTCATTCTGCATCTGCAAGATGAAGCTGGTGAACTTGATAAGTTGTGCAAATGAAAAAAACCTTTGCTTTAGAACGTGCCACTGGATGAAAGCTGTCTTTTAGAGAAATGAAATAATCAGGACTATCTCATTTCTCCAATAGCTTACCCCATTTGCCAGATTTCACCTTATTAAATTTTTCCATCAGAAATTTCAGTCTGAGTGTGTGCAGGTTCTCAGCCGGCCTTCTCTCTAGATCTAAAACCTTCATCTCAAAGTCAGCCACCACTGTGTTCCCAGCCCAGTGTGGAAGGAGCCATTGCTGGGGACCTCTCCTGACCTTCCTGGGAAGCCAGCTACCCAGGACAGTACCTGCTGGCTGGCGTGAGCAGAGCCCCGGGAGCTCAAGTCTGTCTCTGTGCTTGTCCACCCAGCCTGCTCCCTCAGGATCGTGTTCTAGTGGACACTGGCTCTCCCTAGCCACACAGCCAGCATGCTGCAGCCAGCAGAGAAGGAAGAGCTAATGACTGGGCTCCTGGAAACCTGGACTGCAGCATCCAGAGATCCAAACTGCTGCTCGGGAACTCCATTTTTCAATCTTGAAGGTTCACTCCCACGGTCACAAGGGACTACAGCTTGGACTGTAACAACATCTATGAGAACCCTGCTTTGGGCAAGGCTCAACGTCTCCAAGAGCCAGCCACAAGGGCTCAGGAGACTCCCATGTGTCCTTTCTACTGAATGCCTCCAGTTCTGAGGCTGGGCCACTCAATTCACAACTAAGCAGCCGGTGTGCTCCTTCCCACGTCAGTATGCGTCAATGTCCTCTCCTAACTCCTGACTAAACTGAACCTTTTCTTCCTTTTTGAAAGAATAAGAAAAACTATATTACTATGTCTTCTACCAAGTGCAGAATCCTGGAGCCCAATAAACCACTATACTCTTTTCAGTGGCATTTCCTTCATCAACAGGCCACAGGAAAACACTGTCCTTTTCTGCATCAGGGGTGGAAGAGCTTGATGCCAGGTGAGAACTCAGTGGTGACCATGTGTTTTCTACCCATGATTTTGTATTCTAAGACACGGCCTTGGACATGCCTTCACCTGTGGGTAGAGCAAGCCTCAAGTGAGAGAAGAGTCCATGGCCACTACCAGCTCTCCTGGTCCCTCTATCACCATCTAAATGTCATCTTAACACCCAAGACTCCTTGTAAGATTCCTTCAGGAATGAAACATAACTGGGGGGGTGATACACTCTTTTCTGGAGTTTCTGTGACACTCCTGTCACCCCCACGGTATTATGACTGGGTAAATGTGTGTCCTCAGGCAAGCCAGGAGCACCTGAGGGCACCAACTGAGTCTCTGCATGGAACCAAAGAAGACAGAGCTGATGAAGGAAGAGAGCTGCTCTTGCTCACCGGGGCCAACCATCTGCCGGGCATTTACTAAAAGAGAGGATCCCAGTTATAAATATCTACCTTTTGCCAGTCAGAAGCATCTCCCAAGAAACTGAGAGCCACTGTTGGGAAGGTAACCCTCACCTCAGTCTCCAAGACTCCATGAAGACTGGAATCTTAACTCTGATAATTAACAAACGTGGCTGGCCTAGCCTCGTATATGTGAACCGACGCTTTGTACTTCTCTCTGAAGCCCCTTTCCCACTTTAGTTACCTGATTTTTACTGGCTTTACAGATCACTAATTCTGGAGGTCACGGAGCTGAGCTATATATTCTTAGTCTCTCACAAGCTGAGCTACAGATGACACCTCTGACGCGTGGGTCATGATTGTAACAGCTGCCTAGGTTACTTTTCAGGGACTTGGCAAATTTGTTGAAACCACCAACTCTTCATTTGGGCCTGCGCAGGTGTCCAGTGAAGACCTTTTGCCATCAGAGGGCCAAAATCTCTACCTTCTTCAGATCGTGCACCTCTGTTTTCTGTACATGTGTCTCATAAAGAGCCATGAAGTTTCATTACATGTGCATGAAACACAGATTACTTCATCTTCCAATCATTCTCCCCACACCACAGATCACCCTGCTTCTTTACCCCATAAATATCCAACACACCTACCCTCAGGCAGGGAGATGTGTGGCCTCCTACTCCAACTCAGCTGCCTTGTGAATAACTCTTTTGAAAATTTGTTTCAGCGACTGGCATCCTATGCAGTGGGCAAATGGTCACACTTTACCATCTCTGTGCACATCCTGATCCTGCCAATGAGTCTTCAGAGGGGCAGGACAGGGCTCACACAGAGGCGCCCCCTTCCTTCACCCTCAGCCCCCAGAGCCGAGTCGCGCACACGTAAGGAACATGGAGGCCAGCCTCCCTGGAGCAGCTCCCGTGTCAGCCGTGAGCGGGGCACCACAGTTCTCCTCTCCCTAGGCGGGAAGAACACCAGTGGCCATGTGGAGTGGCAGCCACCACCAGGCCGCCTCGGCACACCTACCAAGTGGTCTGCACTCGCCCATTTTGCAAAGCTGTTTGGTGCTTAGTCTGGTATTCTGTGCCTTCCTCTCTGAGACACTCCACCTCGATGGGGGAAGCAACACCTCTAAGAAAATGAGAAGGTGGAAGTCTTCACACTTTTGCAAAACTTGATTCTCTTTTCTCATCTCATTATAAACTTATCTGAGCAACTGTTAGCTCACAGAATTTTTTCAAGCAATTTGACAAAACTGATATCCATTTTCCTCCAATAAAATGTCATCTCTCTATAATACTCCCCTTATGAGTTGCTGGCACTATGAGAAGTTTACTCATTCACCCCAGGAGGGCAGCTGAAAAGAATCTCTTCCCTCCCACCAGCCCTCCTCAATGGTGGCCTCTCAATACGGCCTGAACTCTGCCCGCTATCAACAGGATGGCACAAGGAACTGTACTGAGGGTAAAAGAAATCTAGTGATTAACCATTTAGAAATGCCACTGTTTCTTTTTCATGTAGCAAGACTTCTTTCATCAGCCCCATGGAATCAGCTAACTAGCTTATCAATACTTACATTTCCTTCCTTATTGTGTAGGAAATGACCAAAAAAATCTTCAAAGTAACTGCAACTTTAGCCAAAACAACAACAAAAAAGTCTGGTTGAAATGTTAGTATCTATGCAGAACAATGCACTGGAAGATCCTAAAACTGAGGCTTTAACTGGCTAAGTCCCAATCTGAGTGGAGAGTTTGAACTGCTGTTAGTCCACTTCCTTTTCCTTGCATATTCTCCACAGCCAAAAGTAAGTTTTCAATCCCTCAATCATTTTTGCAGTGAAAGAAGCAAGCAAGTCAGTCCGTACATAGGTCCAGGGAAGGCTCTAGCGGAGGCAACCCACCAGCCCAGCCCCAGGTCTCACCCTTCACGGGGCCCACGGCTCTTCTCGTGGCACTTGCAGCCTACATTTAGGCTCTAATCTGGTTTCTTCGTGTGTTTAATTGATAAAGTGCTAGGCGCCCACCCAGACAATTCAGGAACCATGAAACAAAGTCACTGCTCTAATTAATCCTTAGCTTCAACACCACTTTTGCAAACAAATTCCATAAGAGTCTAGATCTTTTTGCCAAGTCAATGGTATTTTTTAGTCTACAACCCAATTAAACCTAGCTCACAGCAGAGACTCAATAAAAATACTATAAATTTGCTCTTACCCTACCTTTACCTATAAAAGACTGGAGAAATTACACTGGCAAATTTGGAAGCTAACCCCACTTAAACCTACAGATTTCCCATTGTTTCGGAAGAGTGACAAGAGCATTAATGTTGAAAAAATCAGAGCAGGGTTCTGGCAAAAGCCCAGTCCTCCAGTCCTCCAGATTCTTCTGCACCTAGTCATCTCTGGCAAACAAGAAGCACCCTTGCAGCCACGAAAGCACATAGCACAGGACCCCTTAAGCTTCCATTTCACACAAATCACAAAATCTTGAGTTTCTGGATCTAAAGAACAAACACAAAGGAAATGTACAAACTTTTGTAGTAATTCATTTTTGATGCAACTTCTACCCCCTAGGATTAACCCATTTTTCCTGTATATGCCAATGAATAGCTGTCGTGAGGTGATGGATGTATCCTCCTGATCCCTCAGGTCTTCAGCACATGGCCCCTTTCAGAGGTCAGGGAGGTATACATAGATAAATTCTGGAGTGTCCAGTGGAGACCTTTTGCCGTCAGAGAGCCAAACCTCTCCTAACCCTGTCTGTCATCTCTTTAAAACACCCCAGCTTTGTCTTGTGTCAAATGCTCAAATTCTCTGATGAAATTTTTGAGAATTTGTCCTGATGGAATAATCAGGGATACATAAAACCTATGAATAAAGGTCACTTCTGGCTTCTAAAAGGTACAACATTCACCAGAGGTCAGCTGGATGTGAGTGGCCTTGAACTAAAGCAACAAGCAGAAGGCCTAGAAGACTATGTCCTCAAGAACCAGGCAACCTGGAAACAGTGGACGAGGCCAGCTCAGGGCCAGGCCCCAGACCCAAAGCAAAGCGAGTTAAGCCTGTGTAGTCAGAGAAGCACCTTCCTGTCTGCACCCTCACGTTGACAAAATTAAATGGTGCTTCACCATTTAAGTGAACACAATCTGCTTGAAAATGTCTACTTGAAAAACCACATTCTAGACTAAATTTTATTTCTAATAACAAAACAGAATCAGAAAATTCTTATGTGTAGAATATAAAGAATTTAGGTTCCCTTCAAAGGAAAGCTCTTAGACCATTTTTCAAGTTGCTGACTCAATGAAATCAACTCAAAGAAACCAACATTAAGTTCTGCTACACTACTTACTGGTTTTGTTCTACCAAATAATCTGAGTAAATATGCAATCCCCGCCCCTTCACAAGTCCTGAGAGGCCTGATGCTGTTCCCTCAGGGTTCCCACACCAGGGAGGCTTGAGGCCCTCCCAGCAGCAGCTCTGGGCCTTGTACACTTTTGCACTTAAAAAGGAAGAAGCAGAATTCTATTCAAACAAAAACAAAAGTCGAAATATTTTCTTACCAAAAAATTCAAATACATCCTCCACAGTAAGGGGCACTGGCTGCCGTGGTCACTCCGCACTGCGTTCTCAAACAGGGCTCTGATCCGATGTGTTAAGCCGGTCTCTGGGATGGTGGCGTGGATCTCTCTACCTCCCACCCTGCAAGGCAAGGGCTCATGTAACCAAAACACGTCCTCTCTGCTATGTGACCTGCAGGAAGGGATGCTCTAGTGACAACAAAGGTCAGCAACAGCTAGGTCACAGTGTGTCAGGGGAGTGCTGTCCTTCAAGTGTGTGGTGGCACCAAGTACAGGCACAATGTGATTTCTGGAAAGCAGTGGCCAGGGTTCTGTGGTTTCTGCCCCACACGAAGACTGTCCAGAAGTCACAAATTCTTTGCTTCTCTCTTTTCTAAAGATGCTGCCCTACCCTGAAATCAGAATACAAACTCTACTCCCCAGGAAGGAAAGACCTTTCCATTCAAAGTAGACGAGGTAAGATGTACATGCAGTGAAAAATCCCAATGTAAGAAATAAAAATCAAGCAAAATGAAACACTACTCAATGGAAATTCTGCCTTATTTATAAGGTTGCAGTGAAACCACAACAGAGATTCCAGAAGAAACAATGATGCCTAAACTAATATGTTCACAGGACTATCATTTACTTTTGGATATAATACACTGCGTCAAAAGACAGCATGTGAAGCAGACAGGGCTTCCTAAGGAAACAGTGACAGCAGCTAGCAATTACCACGCATTGTCTCTGGGCCAAGCACTTACCTCACTGACCCGTCAGAGCAACCATAGGAGGCGGGCGGGTTCTTTAACTATTCTCATTTGACAGAGAGGAGCCTATAAGAGGGTGAAGCAACTTGCCTGAGGTCACCCAGCTGCTAACCAACAGAGCTGGCACTGGAATCAGAGAAGTGACCCCCCAGAGTCAGGCCCTCAACCACTGTGCTTTCACATAGCTTTTCAGACACTCTGATGGCCTGCCAGGTACACACCAAAAGCAACACATGCCCCAAGAGGCCCAGCCCAGGAAGACAGCCACCAAAGCCTCTCAAGAAAGATGCTGCTATGCTCTAAGTCCCTTGTTCATCTTCAGTGTGTTCTCTACAGCACTCAGGGCGCTCACAGCAGGTGCTCGACACCCTGCACCCCATCCACTCCTGAGATCTGGCAAAGGCGAAGGAAAATGGCAAGCACCCCAGAGAGGTTTGGGAAGTACACAAACAAGACGGCCTATAGTTACCTCTGAACAGTTTCTACCAGTCTTTTCCTCATTTTCTCAGCTTCAATTGCAAATAACCACGGCTCCATGGGTTTGGCAGACCTGGTCATTGCATCAAAGAATTTTCTGGTCTTGCTAGCACTGTGAGACTTATTCTGAATCTGAACATATGACCTCCAAAGAACCTGGTTGCCGGGATACAGCCTCAAAGCCTCCGAGAGCGCCTCTCGTAGCGGAGTCAAAGGGTAAACATTAACTTTCATGTGGAACCTCAGCAGACTTGTGTGCATCAGCGTGATGGCTTCAAGAACACTGGTCAGATTCTGGGAGCTGGCACCGTCCTCCATGCCAGAGCCTTCTGAGAAAACAGAACCCTTCAGTTTGGCAAATAGCTGTTCATATATCTGCACGGCAGCATCAATCCCTACGGTCAAATACTGGAACAGCATAAAGCATTTGACCAAGCTACTCAGGCAGTTCAAGGAGTCAGCAGGAGTTGGATCAGAGACACAGCTCTTACCCAAACAGTCTTGTAGCGCATGCTCGTAAGCCTTTCGAGCTTTCAAAACATTAGTGGGTAAGACCTGCCCAGTGAAGGGCCCGTAGGGACTGCTCTCTGTCAGTCGGGTTAGTATGTGAACAGCTCGGGCCGTGGTGGCCCCTGACAAGTCCAGTGACAGCTCCACCTCCAGCTCAGCATAGAGGAGACTGAGTTCACAAAGTTCACGGTCCTTCAGCTCGCTGCTGCCCACCATACTGAGGGCTGTATCAAAAACTTTTCGGGCATCCTCTATGTTGCCAAGCAACCACTCCAGATGTGCGTACTGCTTCCAGAGGCAAAAATTATTACGGTTTTCTGGCTCTTTAAGGAGATTCTTGGCTAATTTTTTGCAGTTCTTCCCCTGTGACTTTAATCTCTTCTTGTTTTTAGTGTGCAGACACCAAATGACCTACAAGACAGAAATAATCAAAGAATGACTCTGGGTGCTCTGTTATTTCCAAGCAATCTCTTTGTAATGTCAACTTTAGAAAACACCAACAGCAAAGGTCTCTACACTTCCTTTCCTGGGTGTTTGGTAAACACCGAGGCTCTCTGAGCTAAAAAAGAAACCAGGATTTTACCAAGGCCTCAGGAGCCCAACATTAACACATCCAGGTTTCCATTTCAAATCTCTATAAACAAAGTTGATACACTTCAAATGTTCTTCTTCCAAAGAGACGTGGCCACCACATTTTATCAAAGACACTATTTTAACACAACTTGGTATGCATAAGCTGTAGTTAGCTTCAGAACTCTGAATGTTAAGAGTCAGTACTAACTATGGCCAGCAGAGGGCAGAGCAGCAGGCTGAGACTCACTTTTGAGCAGATAGCTATACCGCTCAGGATAAGTAGCTTATTTATCTATTCTAATAAGCACATAAATCCTTTAACCCTGCTTAAGCTGACTCTGGTTCTTAACACCAACTGCCAACATCATCGCAGGCATCTGGTAAGAACCTCCTCGTGACAGCTCCAGCACTGAGCCCTGGACTGGCCCCTGCTTTCCTCTTCCCTGCAGCCCCTCTGAAGGGCAGCCATGCACAACGTGCCTTCAGGAGTCGTCATGGTTCCTGGAGCAGCACTTGGGGCCTTGCAATGCCATCTGTAACACTGATGTGAAATGAAAAAGCCCCAAACCCGGGCAGGAGGCAGCTGGAGTTACCTTTGCAATCTCGTACCGTAACCAGGAGAAGCAGAGCTGAGACTTTTGCTTGCCCGAAAACAAAGGCATCACAAGGTGGAAGACATTGCGAATGAACTCCTCGCCCTCTCGATTGTGACCCCTGGTCCAGCGGAGAGAGCCCAACCGGTCCATGCAGCCAACACAGCTAATGCCAGAAAATGAAAGGTTGAAAAAAGTCAAGGGCTTTTCATCACAGAGTCCACTATCAAAGATGCTGCTCTCATCCATGGCCAGGTACAGGCAGGAGGCTGGAGGGACAAAGCCAGAAGGCACACCCAAGAACTGCAGAAAGGCCTCGATCAACTGGAACTGAAGCTCTTGGCTGGAAAGCCTGATCAGAGATTGTCCAATATCATCAAACAACACCTGTATCAAAGGCAGAATAAAGGGATCCATTTAATGAAATGAACAAACACACAAGACTTCTGTCTTCACATTTTTTCACATTTCTTTTTATATGGAGGTACTAATGATTCAACATGACTCAAATTAAAGTAAATCTTATATAGAACTAAGTTTTCTGCAAAATACAAAAAAGCTGGATGCCGCCCAAGGCCTCCCAGACAGCTGGAGAACCACTAGCAGCCCAAGACTACTAGCACTTTCACACCTCTGGGGAGAACTGTGAAGGCAGACAGGCACAAACAGGCTCAAGCCGACCACTTCCAAAGAATCCTGCTGGATTCATAGGAGAGACTGACCATGTTCCCTTCAAAAAGCACACATAATTGCTTTTATAGTTACTATAACAAACCTTTGTATCTTAAGGTAAAAAAAATTCTATTTGAGAATTTTTTTTGTCCAAATTTTCTTCAGAAAATGAAAACTGCAGATAAACAGGCACAGGTAAGAAGAAAATGACAAGAGCATTTAAGAGCCCAATACCAACTGTACATGTTCACAGCTGATTTCATGTAATTGTTTTAAAACATCTAAGCCAAGGACGCCCACTGCTCTTTGCTTCAAGGTACTTGCTGCTTGTCTGATTCATCTCTGTGGCTCTCGGCAGAGGAAATCAAAATGCAAACACAATAAACTTGGGACTCAATGAATCAAACCATCAATTAATCAAAAAGATTTTGTTCCCCAGGCCTGGACTAGAGAAAAAGCTAAATGACAAGAAGTCACTCACAACAGTTGTGTGCTCCAGGTCCATGGGACAGGTGGAATTCTTGGTAGAGAACCAACTTCCCAAAGGTTAGTAGTGAACTCCATATAAGATCCTGGAACACCAAAAGGAGACCCCAGTCTCCCCTAAACACTCGGCTGCAGTCAGGAAAGAGGTCTCCCACACAAACACGCCTCCCACAGCAGGCGGAGAGCTGAGGTTTCCCTGGAAGCTGGCCCTCCTGCCCAGACCACACCTGCTTCTCTAGCCCCAATTCTCTGCATCTTAACTCCAGTCTGGCCACCCTGTTCACAGATGTGGCTGGCACTGTGGGGCCTTCATGCTCCAGCATCAACAAACAACGCTTCAACATATAAGAATATCACCTAAGCACAGAATGAGCATTGCTCTAGGCACTGATGACACAGCAATGAACAAGAGGCAGAACTCCCCACCTTTGAGGCATGTCACTTGCAAGGTCACAGAGAAAAATCTATTCATGTAACACCCACCAAGTAGTAGAGCTGGTACCTGGTCAATTCCAGGCATCAAAAGAGCACTTCTGGGCTGGGAACGTGGCTCAAGTGGTAGTGCGCTGGCCTGGCATGCGCGAGGCACTGGGTTCGACCCTCAGCACCACATAAAAATAAAATAAAGATACTGTGTCCACCTAAAACAAACAAACAAAAAAAAGAGCACTTCCTCCCTCATTTTAATTTAAAACCCGCAGAGCTGCTAACCCACAAATGCAGAGCAGCACAGATCATACCATGGAACAACAGTAAAATGAAGTGTGTGGCCCTCAACATGTTCAACCAACACCAGCGCCTTCCTCAACAAGTCAAGCTGTGCGCCTACTGCCCTAGTACGGTCTCTCCATTCTCCCCTCATGCCTTCTAGAGTTGAATCCAGCTGCTACATCTCCATGGATCCAAGAGAATGGGTGGGGGAGCAGACAGAATTAAACAATCTAGGACAGTGATCCAAATTTTAGAACTTGAGGCCACAGGGTTCCATATGAAAAGTTAACTAAATGACCTGGAAGACACTCTCCAAAGGGGAGACCAAGAGAGCCTACCTTCAACAGGATCTACCTAGTCAAGTGCCAATAAGCACTCCCATAACCAGATGCAGGGAAATTCTATCTGATACTGAACAGGAGGGCTGTTTCCCCAGACACAGACAGAAACAGGCCAGAGTCTTCTGAGCCAGCCAAGCACTAGGGCACCCCCAGCAACTTCTTTCAGATAAGGAGACATAATGGGAATGAGAGGAGGACAAAAATCCCAAGGTCAATTTCCTGCCTGCGGTGGAGCGCACGTGCCTGTCTCTCGGGATCCTCACAGTCTTCCTCAGTTTGTTTCTTGGTCTTATCAGGGCGCCAGGGCCGCCAGTGCCTTTGATCTCGGGAACGCTCAGCAGCAAGCCAGATCTGCCACCTGGGCAGAGTCTTCTCTTTTATCTCCTGGTCATCCTCTTCTGGCTCGTCATCATCCTCATCTAGACAAGAATGAAATCTCCAGTTCACCTAAGCAGTAAATAAAACCCCCACGGTCACCCAGTCAGCCTGCTGTGCCAGGTACTGTGTGGGCACCTACCACGCCAAGATGAATCAGAGCCAGGCCAGCTTCCTCAGGCATTCAGGGGCATCTAGGGACTCTCCCAAGGCCCAGGAAGAACAGGCAGGAAAGACAAGGGAATCAGACAATTTGAAATGCTATCACAGCAAAAAAAAAGAATGATAGATACTCTAGACCAGCACTGTTCAAAAGAACTTTCTGCAGAAGTGAAAAATGTTCTTTATCTGTGCTAAAACAGTACCAACTAGCTACATGTGACTTACTGGGCACCTGAAATATCACAAATAAAAAAATACTGAATTCTTAATTTCATTTTAATTAATTTTTAAATAGTCACTAGAGGTAACTAGAGATCACCGTTTTGGACAACACAGTTTTAGAATGCTGAATATTATTTAGTGACTGTATTGGCTTAGATTTCCTTAAGCCATCAGACTTTTTAGACAGTGGCCTTATCATTAACTATGACACCACTGTAAGTTGCTTAAAAATAGGTCAATTCAGAATATCTAGTAATTTCTCTGATTCCTAATTCTGAACAACTGATTCCAGAAAAACAAAAACCTATGTTCACATAAAATCCTATACACTAATGTTTGTAGTGGCTTTATTCACAGTAGCCCAAACGTTCCCACAGTAAGTGAACAGAACCTGTGACACAACTATACTGTGGACTACTACTACTCAGTGTTAAAAACGAACAACTATCGATAGCCACAATAATTTATATGTATCTCAGGGGACTTGTGCTAAGCGAATAATTCAATCTCAAAAAATTACACAGAAAACAAGCGTTGCAAAGGAGGTGGAGAGACCAGAGCCTTTGTGCAGTGGTGGTAGGAATGTAAAATGATACAGTCACTGTAAAAAATAGTATTGACAGTTGAAAAGACTGAACTTAGGATTACCATGATTGGGCAATTCCACTTCTGAATATATACCAAGAACCAAAAGCAGGAACTCAAATATTTTACACTCGTGTTCATGACAGCATCAGCAACCACTGAAGGTAAAGCAACCCAAGTGTCCATCAATGGAAGAATGAATAAACAAAATGTGGCACACACATCCCATCTTAAGAGAAAGGGAAATTCCAACACATGCACAACATAGGTGAACCTTAAGGACACTATGATAAGTGGAATAAGCTTGTCACAAAAGGACAAATAATTACAAAACTGATCTTGTGTGAGGTTACTAAAGCAAGAAAGAATGGTAGCTGCTACAGGGAGAGGGGATTAATTAGCACAGAGTTTCAGAGAAGGAAGATGCAAACATTCTAGAGATGGTAGAGAACAGATCAGTGGGAGGGAACAGGGGGACCAAAAAGGGGAGTCATGGGGGGGGGGGGGAGCTCTGTGTGATGAATCAGATCTGTGTTGGAGTGTGGTGGTGACTGCATGAAGCTACACGGGACCGAAGTACCTAGGGAAACACACACACACACACACACAAACGAGGTGCAGACTGGTGAAACTGGAATCAACCCTAACCCTGCAGACTATACCAATGCCAGCTTCCTGGTTGTGAAACTCTGCCCACTGTGTGGAACTGAGCAAAGGGTTCACAAAACTTCTAGGTACATTTGTTTTAGCTTCTTGTAAATCTACAAGTATTTCAAAATAAAAAAACAACAAAAACCCTGAATAATTTAAATGTATAACAGCATTCTACTTAAATGTTCTGTGTTTCTCAAAGTAAAATACCAAAATGTATTCATCCTCATCTTCTAAAGGTCTACATTTAAAGTAATCCATTAAACACTTTTGAGAAATACTTTAAAATGATCCCTGAGTTATACATATTCAGTTAGACACCTGAATTTATTGCACTAAGAATTCAAACAAGGCATGATATTATGTGCCTGTAATCCCAGTTACTTGGGAGGCTGAGACAGGAGGATCATAAGTTCTAGGCCAGTCTGAGCAACTTACTGAGACTCTGTCTCAAAATTTGAAAATATTTTTAAAAGGGATCAGAGTATAGCTCAATGGTAGAGTGTTTGCTTAGAATGTGCAAGGCCCTGGGTCCAATCCCTAGGTCTGAAGAAAAGAAAAAAGAATTCAAAAGATCACATGGTTTTGGACAGGCAGACATAATAATTACAGACTAATGGGTAAAAATAAACTGTGATATATGAAAAAGATATGCCTCAGAACACATTATAAAATCCCAACTACCTTCTAAATGCCACATTTCTCAGGGTGGACAGAAATTTTAAAAGTAAAAACAAAAATAGTTACCAACTAGTTTTCTGGAAACAAGAAAATTATCAATCTCTCTGCTGGTTTTTTGAAAGACTCCTATTAAATTCATCAGAAAGAAATTAATTAAATTCAATAGACAATTTTCTATAATGGAAACATTAGGAAATCTCAGGAAATATAGGTGCCAAAACACCTCCCTAACTTGATATTAAAAGTCAAGGTCTCCACACTTAACACTCCTTTCTAAGAAAACTAACTTTACATCTCATTATGAGTGACCATGAGACATCTGGACGCTCATCAGAGAAACAGTGTTACCCTAGTCTCCAGATAACTGCTATGAGAATGCTACTTTATCATTGCAAAAGTACAGAATTTGACAAACTTTATAACACAGATACTAAGCATCATAACAATCTTGCTCCTCAACAAATCAAAAAGCTAGCCTAAAACACAGACCCAAGTTGAGTCAGTCACTGAACAAAGAAGGCTTAATGCCAAGACTGCCATTTTTTGGTCCCTGGTCACTTCGTCTCTGTGGCCAACAGTGCAACACTTCCATTCCACACATGCAGGCTTTAGGCTGTTGGCCTTCACACAGAGCCACTGGTTAGCCTGGAGACTGGTTCCAGTTCTTGTTGAAAAAGAACCCTCAAGGGAAATCTAAAAGCTGAGCCTACCACAGGATGAGGATGAGGCACGATCCTCACCTGAAGGCGCCCCCAGCAGAGCAAGCCCAAAACTTCAAAGGAGCCCTCTGCCCCCTCAGTGGTAGCAGAGACGCCACCCAGCCTGAGCTCTGTGCCAGGCAAACCACGCCGACACCAAAGTTTCTATCTATAGGTCAAGAAAACGGCCTAGAGAGGCTGGGGTTGTGGCTCAGTGGCACAGCGCTTGACTCTCACACGTGCGGCACTGGGTTCGATCCTCAGCACCACATAAAAATAAACAAAGATATTGTGTCCATGTACAACTAAAAAAAACATTTTAAAAAAATAGAAAACAGGGACTAGAAAGGTCATGCTGGGAGAAGAGGCAGCTGAGCCTCAGCTAGAACCTGGTACCCAAGTCCTGGTACTTTCGATGAAACAGTCTGCATGGGAGACCTCCCTCTAGGCTAGAAGTGCTTTTCAGAGAGAGAAGCAGTTACTGAATGTCTAAGAGCTGCACCACCCAAGGCCCAGCTGTGAGTATGTGGCTGGTGAGTACTGGACAAGTGGCTGGGTGAACTGACGTGAGCGGCAGGTGCAAAATACACACCAACTTTCAAGGAATTAGCAGGAAAAGGAGAAAAATGTAAAATATCTTATTAATAATTTTTAAATACTGATAGTATTTACATGTTGCAATGTTTATGTTATGATATACAAAGTTAAAAATACCATTATTAAGTAATTTCACTGTTTCTTTTTACTACTTTTGGAACTAGGGATGAATCCAGGGTCACTTTACCACTAAGTGACATCCCCAGCCCTCCCCAGCCCACCCCACCCCACCCCACTTTTTAAATATTTTATTCTGAGATAGGATCTCATTAAATTGCTTAGGGCCTCAATAAATTGCTGCGGCTAGCCGTGAACTTGTAATCCTCCTGCCTCAGCCTCCAAAGTACTGGGATTACAGGCATGTGCCACCACACCCAACTTTTTACTTTTTCATTATAGTTACTGGAAAATCTGAAATCACACATGTGGCTTGTGTTGTATTTCTATTAGATAGTGCTGTGTTAGAATTTAAATCTGGAAAGAACTCTGAAGTTATGCAGAATGACAGTTATACAAATGCTAGTTAATTATTTTGCAATATTCCTAAAAAGGCAAAAAGGATCTGTTGATCTGTATGTTGCCAAAGGAACAATAAGACCGTCTTAAACACACACTTGCTTCTTCAGGAGCAACTTACAAAGAAAATAAAAAATTCCTTCCCCCAGAGACTCCATCCTCAGAGCACTATGGACTGGAGGAACGGGATGTTAAGTACTTTCAAGTCTAAAAGACGAAGAAACAGTCTACTCTCCCATGAAATCTACTTAATGTGTTTTTGACATTTTGAAGTTTGTACAATGTTCTTAAGCCACGGATAAAAAGGTTATACAGACATACAAGTGACCATGAAGATGCTGAAACTCCAGAAGAAAAGTGCATACCCATCTTCCCGGGGAGGCACCTACCTGGATTGATGACCACCCAGCCACCCCGCTCCTGCTGGTGCATCCACGCTCGCCAGCCTCTCGCTCCTTTCTCCCCAGGCCGTGGCTCTCCACTGTCCCAGAAGGGCTCAAAGAATTCCACCTGTTTAGGTTTAAAAACACATAAGTTAGGCCTACCAGGACAACACTGCTGAGTCACTGGACAAAATAAGTGCTGGTGGACACACCGAGAGCAGAGGATTCCTAAAGCCATGTGCGGCTACCAGTGTTTGAAGTCAACACACGGAACACGCCACGACAAAAACACAATAGTTAGTGTGGTAGGCAGCCTCCAAGACACCTCACTCCTGCCTCGGAATGCACACTTCTGAGCAAAGGCTGGCCCAGTGACTTATAATAAATCAAATATGGCCAAGATGAAGAGATGACACTTCCAAAGTTAGATTATAAAAAAGACTGGCCAAATTCTAGTGACAGGGCCTGCAGCTGGGCAGGAGACAAGCAGTTTCCCAGTTCTGCTCCTTGGTGGCTTTGCTTGTTCCTCTAATCCACTGGATCCCCTGACAGATATCTGAAGTCACATTGCTTTCAAGACCTTTTCAGGGGAAGGGAATTCAAAATTCCAATGACCATGAGCTCTTGAGGGGAAAACCACATCTTAGGTAACTCTACCCCCAACACCTGGCACAGAGCTCAACACATAGTAGGGACTCAATAAATACTTGTTGGCACAGACACAGAAGGGAAGCATGCCAAGGAAAAAAATGGCCTGCATTTTAGCCTGACCCATGAGCCCCTGGCTCCACTCATGTGGGCATTAGGCCCATAGTGTGTGGAAACCGGCTCACTGGCAATAAATAATTCCCCACGGAACAGAATGTGAATGCGGCTGAGCAGGAACGTGATCATGCTATCAACTGGCAACAGGACTTCAAGAGTGAGCCAACAACCCTACTCCCACAAGGCTCTTGTAAGAAACCTTTCAAAGGACAAACATTCTTCCAACCAGCACAGCACAGCACAGACAGAGTCACAGGATTATGCAGCCTGAGCAGTGTCCTGCATACTTGGAGGAACATGGTCTCTAGAAGAGTCAGGGCAGGGTAGGACAGGGCAGGGCAGAGCAAGCAAGATGACATGGGCCCTGCACTCCCAGCATGTGTCAGTCACCCTCGGAAAAGGAAATGGAAGACTATGCTCTCACTTCATAGGTCTGCTCTTGTGAGAGTGACGGAAGAAAGTGCACTCAAGAAAAAGAACTTTTCTTAAAATTATGTGATAAATTATTGTAACCAGTTTTTTTTACTCCAAAGAAATAGTGGTATCTGACTCTTTTATTACATAAACTGTTAATGTGTGTACAGTAATGTCTCAGTTAATAAAAAATGGAAAATTGTTAAGTAAGAAGTTTCATTTCAAAGCTGTCACATAAATGCTTTGGAAACACACATACCTATTAGTACTTAAAACCTCAAGACTAAGGCTCATGATCCCTGGACACCTATGAGCAGCTGAGCACTGGTCCTCTTGTGTCACAGTAGCCAGTGGACTCCTTCTCGGGGCAGTAAATGCTCTCCTCACAGACAGTGAGTCTCAGTAGAGGAACAGGGATGAGAGGGATTCAGACCCCGACCTTTAGAATCAGCTAAGAATCACTTCTGGAACACAGCATATTCTTAAAAAAACCAAAGAATATAAAACTACTCTATCTGGCTTATTAATAATCCATTATACTAATGTTAACCGGTAATTCTTTAACCCAACTCTAACTAGAGATAACATCATTATAAAAATGGTTTTTACTGGCAATTCGTGAAACTTCCATAGGAGGGAGACCTGAGCCTCTTCAGAGCAAAAAAGCAGTTTTCTTCAGTGGAAAAGGGGAAGACAGAGGTTTTCACAAGGGCATATCTCTATAATAAGATGTTCTCATTTCTTCACAAAACAAACTCTGGCACTGTTCACTTGTCACCTAAAAGATGAACCCTTCTCAAGGACTGGTGTGGACAAAGTGCGTGTAATGCAATTTCATTTGCAACTCCAGCAAACACTGTAGGCAGTAGAAAGGTTACCTGGCCAGCACCACAAGACCCAGACTAGGACACAGGAGAGTGACGGGCCTGCCGCTGCAGCATGACTGCTGGAGATGACGTGCCTTTAAACAAGGGCCACAAGGGGAGAATGGATGGATAGCGGGCGTGGAGAGAAGGGACGAATCTTCCCTTCTCTATCCCTATTTCATTACTTTCACTGTGGAATTTTCCTTGGCTCAGTGGAATATTTCTGAGAAAGAGACACTGATCATATAAGCAGAGATTGGTACCTGTAATTTGGTAGGCAGATCTTTCACACTGTCAGGTTTGAAGAAAGTGAAGTCAACCATGGCCTGGAACAAAGACACGGCCTTCTCTGAGTGGCCAGCCTGCCGCAGAAAGTGGCACTGCTGAAGAAGGAGTGCTGCAGAAGGGAGAATAAAGGGAAAGAATTCCTTGCTGATACCACTGAGGGAGAGAACAGGACGCTTACAACATGCGACTGAACACTGAGAACATCTTTTGCCAGAAATTCCTGTTAACATTTTCAAAGCTGGAACACACACATGTCCTGATCTAAAAGGACTATCAGCAGTACTCCATCCAAGTATAATCTTGCTGATTTTTGATGAAGCCAACACAGAATACTATTATAATAAAAACTACACATGGTACCTAAAAATACATCAAGAGATTGATCTGAATGTTGGCTGTCAAATATTCAACACTGCTACAAGAACTGTAGGAAAAGGATGACGTAGATTTTTATCAGAGAGCAAAGCTCTGTACCCCACGGATCACTAGATGGCGTCACTGCCCAGCAATTTTCATCAAGCCTCAGGGTCCACTGTGAACAAATCCAGGTTCTGTGCTTGAAATTTTCAGTTCAGCGTTTCAATGGTATAATTCCATTTGCTAAATAACATCAAGCTGTGTATGTAGCATATCACAAATAATTTTAAATATAAGACTTTTAAAAGTTACTCCATGGAATTTATTTTATTTTTTGGTGCTGGAGAGCAAACCTAGGGCCTCATACATGCTAAGCACTCACTCCCAATACCTCCAGCCCCAAAGGTGAGATTCTTTATGTTAAGAGTGGTAAATGCTTAATAAATTTATAGAGCACTATGTTTGTATTAGATGCTAACAGTAATAACAGCAGGGAATTCAATAAAAGATATGCCTGTTAGGTGCCACACATTAAGCTGGACTCACCACATATCATCTCTATCTCATTGATGTTCACAATAGCCCTGTGAGCAGATGAGTTTTTTTAAACTATTGCTCCTGATGGGGAAACTGGAGCTCAAACAGGAAAACAAATATATATGTCCAAAGTCACACCAGAGCCAATGAAGGACAAATCCCAGATTCAAACTGAAGAGTGACATTCTCCAGCTCCTGCATAACATGCTGCCTCACATTACTGCAGAAATCTGTAGTCTAAGCTCCTTGGAACACACCCAAAACATTAACAGCATAATAATATCAATAACACATCTACGCAGCCAGTAAGGCATCTCATGTACATTATTACCAGAGACCAGGTAACTAGGGGTTGTAACAGGTTGATAGCCAAAGCACTTAAAAGACTGTTTACTGGACTAATCAGTACAAAAGTTGGAACTTCATGTTCAGTGACATTTTCCCAACTACTGATTCTAAACAGTCCCCACCCCCCCACCAACACCCCTACCCACAGAGCTGGAGGGGAATCTTATAATCTACCAGAGTCATAACACTTTTTTTAAAAATTACTTCTGACAATTTAGACTTTTCTAAAATAAACCAAAAATAAGTCCTTTTTTCCAACTCCTCCCACGCAACTGGATCAGTTATCTTCTTACCAAACATGGCCTCTTCTATGCCAGGCAGCGCAGGGTGAGATAAGATGCTGCCATCCTTAACAGCAGACAGAGTGCTCAAGCACTTTCCATAAAGACTGTGAATTTTTGATATTGAAAAAGTGCTAAACTGGCTCTGACAAAACAAAAGGTATTTCTGCCAAAGGACCGTGTTATTGGGATGTAAAAAGACCAGTTTCTGCCACTCTTTGACCAGCGCAGCAGGCTCCCAGAACTCCGCACAGAGCTTCAGCTTGGCGAGCTTGAGATCGATGCTGCTCTGGTTGCTCTCAATGGCCCGCTCCAAGATGGCCAGCTTCTTCTCCAGGATGAGCTTCAGGGACTTCTTTCTCTTCTCCTGTTCTCCTTCCTCCATAGCATACAGGCCAGGACTCCTCATGACCTCATCCTCAATGACAAAAACACCAATTTACTAACACAATGAGTGGGGACCTCCAGCGTGTCGACAGTGCTTGGGTAGGCTAACAATCCCCATGAGTTTCTACTTTGTCGATAACCACTCATTCACCATAATTCCTTTTCCTGAAAACTCGGTTCTTAAGATGCCTGTGTCACCTACCACAGTAGTCGTGATCTCTTCACTTCAACAGACTGACCTGCCTACTCTGCCATTTTTAACTTAGATTTATTTAAGTGTTAGTAACCAGCATATCATGCCCTGAAAACCTTTTCTGAAGAGCCAGTCTTACCAATAAAACAGCCAAACATGGGACAGTATCTAATGATAGCATGTGGTTCCAAGTGAAGACAAAAGACAGACCCATCTGCTTTAGGGAAACACACAGGGAGCACACAGCTCTAGCTACTGACTTCTGATTTGTGCGCTTGGCCTGTGTTGTTTGTACTTCAGACTTGCCTCCCACTGCCTAGTGAATATCTACTCCTCTTGAGATTCTGTTCCTTCCTGAGCTAGGATGTGGCTTGGTGCAAGAGCACTTGCTCAGCACAAATGAGGCCCTGGTTTTGATCCCTAGCACCAAAAAAAAAGAAGAAGAAAAAAAGGATTCTGTTCCAATCTCACCTTCCCTTGGGAGCCTGTCTTCCTCCCCAGTGGCAAGTGACTCCATTCCCAAATAACACAGCAGAGCACTGACTACCCAGGCTGCATTTGTTCCTCACATCAGGCTTCCCTGGTGGACCCTGAGCAAGCTCAGGGAAAGGGCTAGGGCCTAATTATCTTTACATGCTCGGTGCCAGGTTTCCTCATGGCAGCTCCGAAAGTGCTGAAGAATAAAAGGGTCTGCCCCAATTCAGGAACCTCATTCCAAGGTATAGGAACCAGGACAGGGACACTTACCTGAAAAGCAACAAATGCCATCCACAGCTGAATATCCCGAGGGTTCTCCCGAACCTTCCTATTAAACTCCTCCACCTTTGCCTTGAGAAGAGCATTCTCTCTGTCCAGCTGTGAGTCTGGCTGCTTTGATTCTGCTTCTGAAGGACCCTGTCCTTGTAACCACTGTGTGGTTGACCGATCATAAATCCCCAAAGGATTCAACCAGGTTGTAACAGGAGAAGCCATATCATCCAAGTCCTTCACGGGGATAAACAAGACCGGCTCTGCAGAAGGAGGATCAGTTCTACTGCTAACAGAAACGCCATCAACGCTCATCAACCCCACGCTCTTCTTCGTAAAATAGCGTTCAACGTGCCTGTGCGCACGCTTCTTTGTTGAGGAAGCCCCTTCCCAAGATATGCACTGCTTCTTCGGGTTAATGCCCAGGCAGGAGTCTCCTTTCCTCTTGTATCTTTTAAAAAAAAAAGAAAAAAGGTTACTGAGGGAATACATGTACTACCTCAAAGTGCCTGAAGGCTCATTAGAACTTTAAACTCTTTCAAGTTCACTGCACACAAATTGCTTGTATTAGGGCTGGGGCTGGGGCTGGGGCTCAGTGGTAGAGCGCTCGCCTAGCATGTGTAAGGTACTGGGTTCGATTCTCAGTACTGCATATAAATAAATAAAATAAAGGTCCATTGACAACTAAAAAATACTTTTTAAAAAAATTGCTTCTATTTAGAGCCATGAGAGAATTAGCAATCAGCATTTTCTGCCGACTCCGACTGCTTCCCCTAACAAGTCAACCCTCGTTAACGTTTCCATCATGACCATCTTCTAGATTTTAGTAATTTATATTTTCCTGGAGCTTTGTGGTTAAAGTACTGCCATATTCTTTATGTCATCTGATCATCACAGCCACACACAACAGGCAGGCAGAAATCTCATCACCTTTTACATTGTTCCTAATAAGCACACTGAGCTGGGAACCTAAGCCATCTGTCTCCTACCTCAGTCCCGATTTCTCAATATCGTCCTGTGTCCGTACGTAAGACAACATACAGGCCTAAGATTCTTTTTTTAGTCCTGAAACAAAGTATGTCAAATGAAATTACATCTGGCTATTTTCTACTCTAGAGGAAAAGAGGCTGGGTTCTTAAACGCTTTTATGTAACACGTAGGTGTCCCCAGAGTTACCAGCACATGACTACTGAATATACGCACAGGCAAAACGAAAGAAAATTTTGTACTTTTCTGTATGTAGTTAGCAAACAACCCAATTAAAACTGAGCAAAGCGAGGCACAGTGGTGCACACCTGTAATCCCATCAACTTGGGAGGCTGAGGCAAGATCATCCCAAGTTTGAGACCAGCCTCAACAACTTAGCAAGACCCTAAGCAATTCAGCAAGACCCTAAGCAATTCAGCAAGACCCTGTTTCAAAATTTTTAAAAATAAAAAGGGCTGGGGATCTAGCTCAATGGTAAAGCACAACTGCATTCAATCCCTAGTACCAAAAATAAATAAATAAGTAGCACGCTCGCCTGGCATGCACGGGGCACTGGGTTCAATCCTCAGCATGGAAAACTAAAAAATAAATATTAAAAAATTCTCTTTAAAAAAAAAAAAAAGAACAGACAACAGCCGGCGGCTGAGCCAGGACCAGCACCACCAGCAGCGGAAAGAACCACTACTGACAAATGCTGCCACGCAGGTGAGCCACACAAACCCGACGCAGGGCGCCACCAGTCTGCTCCCGTGGATTCTGACCAGGCTCGAGGAATCACGGGTGGGCGTTAAGTTAGGAAGGTGCCTGCCGCTGGAAGCATGGGAAGGAGACGGAGGAGGACGAAAGCACCGGCCACAGCGAGCCTCTCTTGTCATTCGGTCTGGCTCTCACAAGCTCTGCCTCCACCACACCACAGGCCACTATGGCCTCCCCCTCCATCTTGAGCTTCTCCACTGTCCACAGCTGCCCTCTGTGAACACCTTGTCCTTTGTCACTGCTCAAGTGTGATGACTTCCGCAAGATGGAAATGTTTTCTCCCCCACCCGCCCTGCAGGGCTTGGATGTCCTCTCAGGAGCTGATAGTCAACCCTAATTCCCAAATTCCTAAATGGATGGTATTTGGAGGCGGGATCGCTAGAACATAATGGGTCCAAAACGAAGGTCACCATGAGCATGGGACCCCCAAAGTGGGACTAGTGACTTCCCAGGAAGAAGGGAACAAAGTCCTGAGCTGACACAGTTGCTCTGTCTCCCAGGTCCTCATGCAGCCAGGGCCAGAGGCTGACCGTGAGCCACACACACCTGGATTCTTCAGTGAGTCACCAAGTCCTGGACCCCCAGGATTTTGTTAAAGGAGCAGAAAGCAGATAAGACAAACCCTTTTCCTATCCCCCCCCCCCCCAACTCTGCCTAGATCACCTTAGGACAATCTTTCTGTATTCCAACATGAGTCAAAAACTGTAACGGGGCTGGGGTGCACCTCAGAGGTAGAGCTGTGCTCAGCATGCCTGGGGCAATACTCGAGCACCAAAACCTAAGGAGTGTAACAACAACTTGTAATGGGACAAAACAGAGTTAAACAGTTCTAAACACACTCCTCATTCCCTAAGGAACAAACTAAGTTAAAAAAAAAAAAACTATTACTGTCTCTTTAATTACTACTATTTTAATAGTATTGATCCCTTATTAAAAACATACAGTATTTTAAATATTCATATAATCTGTTAAAAATGTTTACTGAGGCCAGGCACAGTGGTGCATACTGTAATCTCAGTGATTCAGGAGGCTGAAACAGGAAGATCGCAAGTTTGAGGCTGGCCTCAACAACTCGGTGAGGCCCTAAGCAACTTAATGACACCCTGCTTCAAAATAAAAAATCATACGGGATGTGGCTTACTGGGTAAACACCCCTGGGGTCAATCCCCAGTATGGGCGAGGAGTTACTTAGTTTTCTAATTTAAAAGTAATAGCTTCATTTTCTGTAGCAAAGGAGATGAAACTGCTAGAGAATCTTACTGGCTTATATTATCTACTTTCAGACATTGTTCTGTATACATTTGTAATGTGCACGTACACTTCCTTTTTAACAGTTGATATCACATAGTTTCAAGATTTCCTCCCTACCTTCAAGCTCTCTCCATACCAACAGTCTTATGAGAATATAATTTTTATTGGCTTCCAACTGTTCCACTGTACAGATGTGTACAGTTAACTATTTCTCTACTCCTGAACATTTAGACTGTATCTAAGTAATCACTCATCAAAGAATCTTAACCCACTTTATCCCACTGTCCCAGATGGAACACCTCTAAAAACTAAATTTGGTATATAATTATATATATATA